GGGGGGGGGCGGAAAAAATAAAAACACATAAAGAATAATAAAAATAAATAAATAAATAATACTGATTCCAAACAAAGCGGCTTAGCCTGTAAAGGAAGGACAGGAGAGGGTAGGGAGGGAGAACCGGAGGAGGAGTGGGGAGACAGGAAGATATAACGGAGGGGGGGAGTGTGCAATGTGCAGTTGACTACACAGAGAGAGGGAGAAGGCGAGAGAGAGAGAGAGAGCGAGAGAGAGAGAGAGAGAGAGAGAGAGCAGCCCGCCGGCCCATTGAGGAAAGATGGCTACAGTCACTGCAAACGGAGTGCAGCAAGAGAATGGATTCAGCACCACGAACAGCGCCGGCAGGATGAACGGGCTTACCATCGGCCAGAACACCATTCCAATGAAGGACCACGACGCCATCAAGCTTTTCATCGGGCAGATTCCCAGAAACCTGGAGGAAAAAGACCTGAAACCCCTGTTTGAGGAATTCGGAAAGATATACGAACTCACTGTTCTGAAAGACAGGTTTACGGGAATGCATAAAGGTTGGTTGTTTTGACTACTTTTATGATGCTTTAGGGATTGAGAAAAGGTTTACGCAAAGTAGTGACAAAGCACGTCCCGGCTCAGTTCTGGGGCAGAGGGCATGAAAAGTGTGTTAATTTGCAGATGTTTGGGACAGTGTGGGAGCCCCGTAGTGGCTTCGAAAGCACACGCGCACACGCAGAGGCACACACACACAAATACGTCTGAGGCGTGAGAGGGGGAACACGTGGAAGTGAACGGCTTGGAAGTGCAGGGTTAATTGTTACCGCTACCAGACAATCCACGTGAATACTACAGCTGAAAATGCCTTTGTGTGTTTACATTTACTATCATGTGCTCAGCATCCCCGTTAAGGCCAGTTAAGGGGGCGGGACACGGGACAGGCAGCTGTGCAGGCGTATAAATTCCATTTTAAAAAAATCCATCACATTTGCTGTATGTTATCAGCGAGAAGTAAATACTTTCTGGGAAGCTGAAAATGTAAGCCATTATCAGACAGTCAAAATCGGCGATTAACGTGGTGCTGACAAGCTGCTTTGACCTTTCAGCGGGCTGATATGTTTTCTACTTTTCGGACGTCATTAGCTGTGGAAAATACTACTTACATGGCAGCTGTATTGTAACGGAGCTCCGTGGGCGGGTTGCAGTCAGGAAGTACAAAGCAGGATGATAGTAGAGGCTCAGCTCCAGCACACATTGCATTCTCGCTTGCTCTTTTCACCCCCGAACCCTTATTGTCCAAAACGAGCGGGATCTGTGTACACTTAGTAATTAGTCAGACACGTAACGGATAATCACGGATCGATCGGCTCTAATTACAGTGATAGTAATGAATGCCAGTGTGCAATTCGGCTTTGTATTTCTAGACAAGCTTAAATGATTTTTTTCTTCTTTTTTAAGTCCACAATTCAAAGTTTAAGTTTTGTTCAACTTATTCCTTCCTGTACTGTTGCTATAAAATTTTGTCATTAACTTAATGTGATTGCAACAATTTCAAAACATTTTATTAAAATTTAAATTTTGGTCATTATTATATATTTAAAGTCTTTTATTATACATTATTTTCTCAATTAGTAATCTATTTAAGAAGCTACAATAAAAAATGTATAACTTTTTATCTTTATTGTGAGACTACTTGCACTACTGCTACTACTATTACTATTATTGTTATTATTATTATTCATATTACGTACTTATTAAGTTTATTTGGTAGTATTTCAGATTATTATTACTTATATAAATATAACCAGAAATCAGTTTATCTTTAAGTTAAAGAGCACTGTATTGAGAAACAATTTATATATCTATATCTATCTCTATATATATATACATACATATATAGTTTTGGATTATGCTTTAATTATCTCTTTTGCTCTCTTTCTCATACACACACGCGCACACACATGCACGTGTGCACACAGACAGACACTTGCACTGAGACAGCACACAGGCAAATAACACACATTCACATATTCACCACTGGTGCTGAATTCACATGCAATTCACTCTCAAAAATTCACCAGGCGGGCAAATTACGTATGATATGTAATTCAGTGGCAGTAGTTCATGATCTTATTGATTAGACTGGTCAGGCGCTCTAGTGGGAGAAATGAGCGAAGGCTCACCATTACTTTCTTGTGTGTGCAGCCCTGAGGATCTCCATGCACCACCTGTTTCTCCAGCCATCAGCTGCTGGTGGTCAACCTGCTTCTTGTCTTTCTGTTTTTCCTCTTTGGAGCCTGATGATCGATTAAAACAATATTTCTGATATCCGTGTTGTTTACGCCTGTCCTCAACCATCCCTGAATGTCAACACTCTGGAGGATAGTTGCCTCGGGAAGGATAATCCTGTTCCAAAGCTGTATGCCTGTTCAAATCATCCTCCACCAAGGCCACTCTGATGTTCGCATTATGCCCACTTCATCCCGCGTGACATTCAAAGTCACTTTGGGAGCACAGGCGTGCACTTTTAATAAGATTTTACCAATGCATTATATGGATGAGTTTTTCTTATTGGCCACTCATCTAAACCATGCTCATGTGCCCTGCTGTGCCAAGGTGTGACATCTCTAGACTGAAGCAAGAAAGTACAAGAGTGAGAAAATGGGATTAGTGACATTAACAAAACAAAGTAGATATAGTGTAAAATCAGCTGTGTCAGTCAAGGAGAAAAGAGTAAACTACAAACAGACTGATCATTCTGACACTGGAAGCTTTTGTAGGGGAACTGAAGGTAAAATGAATTACTTAACTTTGAAAGAAGGGCTACAAGTTTTCCAAGACAAAGTGTCCTATAAACAACACAGTGAACAAGACATGTTTAACTTAAGTCTGTCATAAATTAAGATTCATGTTTTAAATGAATTGAATTATAAATTAATTGTTATGTATCAAATAAAAAAATAGGTAAAAAAAAAACAAAAACAACAACAACAACAACAAAACAATTTGAAATTAAAATTATAGAAAGGAAGAAAAACAGTCTTACTACAATTATTCCATTTTTTACCTGCCAAAATAAAAGGTGACATGCGATCGATCCAAACACCATCACATTGTTATTATATATTTTATATGTACTGTTGTCAGCATGTCTAGTTGATCTTTTCTGTATTTAAAACATTTAAAACAAGTTAGGAGTCATGCAAGGAGTAATACATGCACAAAGAATAATCACCTTATTCTACAGCTCCGGTAAGCTCTGTGGATCGCTGTAAAAGATTTTAGGATTGACTCTTTTATTTTTTTTTTGGGGGGGGGGTTCAAATTTACTGTTTTGCTTCACTGTTGCTGTTGTCCTCATGTTGATTTTGACTGAAGTGGGCAGTTTGTTTGTTTTTTTAAGTTTTTTTTAAAGTAGAATCATTTTGAAAATGCAACACTAATAAGTTCTCATTTCTCAGGCTCAGAGAAAAATAAGATCAAATGAAAGCTAATGCTCTTAGTCTGCTGCATAGATCTATAAACAAAACAAAACAAACAAACCAACAAAACTGTTATCAAGTGATACCAAGAGTCTCAAATCAACTTAAAGTCAAATAATATGTCTTATCCTGTTCACAGGTTTGTTTTTCACTGCTGACAGTGTCGGATAAATAAGTAACTAAATAAATAAATGCAAGTTTAATGAAGGTCTCTAAACAGTGCAATGCAGTTTGGTGGTCTAGCAGTGCAAATTCTGTAATATAACGTATTTGTCCAAAACACTGACTGGCCAAAATACATCAAGTATGTAAGTTTTATAAGTATGGACTCATCTGGGATGTCATTTGAGAAATAATTGGTAGATGTTAGACTCACATGAATCCCAGACTCACTGCTATCCAGTAGAAATCCCTGAGGTAATCTTTATCTACTACAGTTCACAATAGATAGTTTTATTTATGCCTGTTGATTGTCTGCTGATATAGATGGTATTAATCAATATAGATAAGTGTTGTTGCTGTGTAACCATTGTCAACGCTGTAGCTTGAGTCGTTTACTTGGCTCTATACAATATGATATTTTGCTGTAATCTTTAGTGCACAGTATGTGCACTCAGTTACCACTTTAGAGAACATCGAGCTTAGGCTAATGTGACATAATACAATACTCATGCAACAGTTTTATCTGCATAGTTTCAATATTCAATTTTTGTTTTGTGTTCATTTTGAAGACTGCAGTTGGGGCATTGAATTTAATTTAATAATTCAACAATTCCTTTATTTATTTAATGTGGAGACACGTTGATATTATTTTGACCACCCTGTTTCAATCTGTGCAGCTAAGCTAAATTAAAACAAACAAACGCCTTTTTTTATTGAATTAAATACAGTTTAACAACAACAAACTTAAACTGCAAGAAGTCTTATAAAGCTGAAGCAACACCTACTTGTGCCTAATAAGGCAGCTGCGTGCATATTACACAGTGGTTTATAAAGCAGCTTACAGGCTTCGTTCACAACAATGCACAACATGCCAATGTATATTGGCAGTCTTTTATGTCAGAGGCCCGGAAGGCTCTCAATATTGTAACATCATCAGAAATTCAATCAACTTTCTTTTTTCCCCACAACATAAACATTTTTCACAGCACGGTATCAGAGAACCAGAGGATGTTATAAAAACTCTGCCTCCGTGATACCTGAAAACATTATTATTATTTTTGCAATATGCAATACATTTAATTTGACTTTTAATTTGAAATTCCTCTTCATGTCTAATTTGTAGGTGAGAAAGATTTGACTTGTTACAGATATATGATGCATATAACTGTTGGCGTCAATCAGTAAAACATGCCTAATGGATGATTTGCAGCACTGCCTTTTTTCACAGCTCGAGGCCTATGACAAAAAAATTGCACCATAATTATGGATTTAAGAACTGATCAAAATATGTCAGATTAGCTCATGACTAATTCATGTGGATTGCACTGCAACAATTTGAACAGATGTTATGTGCTTTCTTACTTTGAGCGTTTAGGGTATCTCCAGGGACTTAAATATCCTGGTAATTTTCTGTTTTGTGATTTCCTGTACAGTTGGGTAGAGGAGTGTAACCGAATGGTTAGTCTGTTCAGATAACATTTTTTTTCATCTCTTAACAGATAATTATATCCAGCCTTATAGCTGCTAGAGACTGTTGCCTTTAATGCCGATTTGATAGTTTGTGTGTCGTCAGGGAGCTGTATACAGTGCGTGGGATGACTTGACACTATTTGCGGGCATGGTGATCGCCAGTGTGTAGTGCAGCCAGGTCGTGCTGTTTAACATCCATCATTTCGCTGAGCACTACATTATCATAATACTTAGTGTCAGTGCCAGAATGCATGCATTGTTCAGACATGCTGAATGTTAGTGGGGGGCAAATCTTTTGCTTGAGTAGCGTTATTTATCAATCCGTCTCTGATGCTGAGAGGAGAGACTCTGAGGTGCACCACACAGCCAGGAAGAAGAGATACAAAGAGTTGTTAAATATCCTCATCCATTTTCCTCTCCTCGGTAGGTCCATGCAGTGAAAT